TCCATCCATCCGCCCGTCCATTCATCCGTCCGTCCGTCCGCGTCCGTCCATCCATCCATCCCCTTTCTATCCTCCTTCATTCCTCATCCTTTATCCCTCCTCCATCCTCCTCCTCCTCCTCCATTCTTCCCTATCCTCCATCCTCCCCTTCCTCCATCCTCCCCTTGCTCCATCCTCCCCTTCCTCCATCCTCCTCTTCCTCCATCCTCCTCTTATTCTCTTCCTCCATCCTCCTCTTCCTCCATCTTTCTCTTCCTCCATTCTCCTCTGCCTTCATCCTCCTATTCATCCATCCTCCTCCACCATCTTCCTCCATCCTCACACCTCACACTTCATGTCCCTGCTTATCAACAGTCAGTCAGGCCGACACTCAGACACACACTCACAGACACGAGCGTAGAAATATCTCAATCTCCCGACCGGCGCGCTTCGGCGGGTTGCGTGATGCAGTTGCGCACGTCGAAGTGAACGGCGCCGAAACCCCCGCTCGCCCATATCTTATGTGATTGCGTCGGCGGCAGGTCGGCGGCATGGAGGTGACATTTCCTAGCCTCGGTGCCGGGCAGGGCACTGGGCACCGGCACCATCCCCGTTACAGCACATCGCAGCCAAAAATGTCGATCGAGGATTGCCTCGAAGTTTTTAGCACGATGATTTTGTTCCTCTGATCAAAAATGTTTATCAGGCTGTTGTCTTTGAGTGGGCCGTGCGACGTGTGCAGGCCAGCCTGGTCGCGGCAGGCCAGTTTCTGGGGAAAACAAGAACCGGTATGCCTTTCCTGCTCGGCCCCGCCCCTCCCCGCCCCGCCTAATCGGTGGCCCGCGGGCGCCTGGCGCGGCCCTTGGAGCTGCCGGCCGGCGAGGCCCTGCTTGCTTGTCTCGAGCAGCGGTCTCGGTAGCTCAGCCAAAAAGTAGGTTCTCTGAGCCACGTACTTACTACGAGACCCTTTTGAGACATGATCCAGGAGCCCTCGTGTGGGTCCTCCTCCCCGCGCCGCCGCTCACGCTGGCATGGGGCCACCGAACCGCTTCGGCCGAGGACATTGATCCGCGGTACATAATGAGCCGGGGGCCCCATCCCACCGCGCGGCCGCCGCTCATGCCGGGGCCCCGGGGCCGACAGCACGGGCGCCACGGCGACACTCCCGGCCCGGCCGGGCCTACCCCCGCACCATCTGGGACACAATACTCCACCGAAAAATACCGTACAGGGAACAAGTCTCTTCCGTAAGCTTTCTCCTTTGGTCGATTCGTTCTCGTGTGTGTACGTAGTACGTGGTACGTGGGCCATACCCGCCGGATAATAAATACAGACTGTGACAGGCTCCCCCGCCGGCCAGAAGAGCCTCTCCGCCCGGGGGCCCAAAAGGTCTGACCACCACGGCAGCGTGAGCAGGAGGGGGACTAGAAGAAAAAAAAGTTCCGACCAGAAACGGATCGTGAAAGCAGATGATACCAAGTCAACAATTCTATTCCAGTATATAATATTTCTGTGGGGAGTTTAAGGGACGAAATACTTTC